CATTAAGCATAAGCGCCGGACATGCAGTATAACTAATCATGTGCATGAGGCGGATCATTCGAGCTTAAAATTTATGCTTATTGATCAACACCAGGAAGGTGTTGTTGACCAACCGGAAAGGCCTTAATGGTAGTCATGATTTCGCCCAACAATAGTAATTTATTCATAATTTAATGTATATAAGTATGTTCTGTGTAAAGCTAGGCACTCTGAAGAAGGCTGTGGCATGCAGCCGAAAATTTAGTTTTTGTATCTAATATACCTTTTTCTTAATAAACTTCTTCAAACGTAGCCGTTCTGTTTGTTATATATATATATATATATATATATATATATATATATATATATATATATATATATATATATATATATATATATATAATAAGTAGAAAATGTTCTCGAGTGTGTATTTCATAATTTCCATACCAAGCGTAAGCAGAAAGATAAAGTCTGCCGCGGCTGGGTTTTGAACCCGCGACCTTCGAATTACGCCAATAATAAGGAATAAACTGAGTTTACTGATGAGAAGTCAATACAACACAAGAGAGCTTTTGTAATGATATAATAACAATGTGGTGCGCTAGATGATAATGGAATGCTAAGGTGCTAAACCGCTGAGAAAGGGAATGGCGTGGTTGCCCTTCCTCTTGTCCACTGGCTCCCATGTAGGAGCTGAGCGAGGTACAATGTGACACAGCTCGAATATAAACTACATATATAGTTTTAAAAACTAGAGTTCTCTATAACTTGGCAGAGAGTAACATACTGTATAGGTGCAGTGTCTGTCCGATTGTTCGCCCCTCCTGGACGTAATATCAATAATATGCTGACATACAGTGACTAAATATAGAAATATAAAATGTTAACGATGTTAAACATACTTAACGTTTACAAGTCAATAACGATTCAAATCCCAATCCTGGGTGCACCAATAAGGAGGTCTTCGCTCACGGACTGATTTTCGGGGAGGCACGACTGAAGACGAATGCTTGCAGGCCACAACAGCTTCAGTGGTTGTGGGGGTGGGTGGAGCAGATATGCCGCTAATGGCATCGGCTACTGGAGGGGAAGGTGGTACGATGATTGGTGGAGTAACACTTCTAGTATGTTCTTCGGCCTCTGTACTGGTATTATACTCGTTGTCGGAATCGGACTCTAGTCGCTCATCCTGCCCACGGACAGGTCCTTGAGAGGGTTGAGCTACAACTGAGGGCTTCAACGGATAACAATCGGCCATAGGTACGAGGTAGACTTTGCTTCGAAACTGTGAGCTTGTGAATTTCCGTAGGTGGCACATCTTGCTTGGGTCGATGTCAATAACGAGGTACTTTTCGCGAGCTTTTAGCTTGTCCTTGTCACGTGTCAAGTAAACCAGGTCTCCAACAGAGATAGTAGGAGTGGGATAACCTAGTATACCAGTAGCTTTCGATTTAGCACTGGGTAGGTGGTTCTGCTTACGAGATACGTTTTGATTGAGAATAAGGTCGCGGTCGATGA